ATATATATATATATATATATATATATATATATATATATATATATATATATATATATATGTCGGCTATTATTTTGAAAGTGGCTATACAGTGGCATTTTCCCTGCTACCTAGTTTTGCGTCACCCATTGAATTTGTACCCACTTTTTAAAACAAGTTTAAGTGTACCCAATTTGTTGATAACTTCAGATACATACATTTTTCTCTTCTTCTTTATTGTTGTTTTATTCTTTTTCTTCGTGCGTAGAGCTGCTGCTTCTTCTTCTTAGTTGCAAAATGAGTTGGTTAAATTTGTTGATGCTTTGACAATATAATGATTGAAATTTATTTTTTATAATATTTGAAAGTTATGTTTCAAAGTTGAGCTCATTTGGAGTACATTTGGACATTGAATAGTGTATTGGATTGTTGAAGTTCGACGAACAAATTTATGTTTCAGAACTTAAGATTCGAAATCTGAAGTTGCATTCAATAAATTGAACAACTTAAGATTCGAATTTCTGAAATTGGATTTGTAAGATAAAAGAACTTCAGATTAATATCTGAAGTTGCATTGAAGAGATTGAACTAATACAGATTCGAATTTCTGAAGTTACATTTGAGAGATAGAAGAACTTTATATTTGATTTCTGAAGTTGCATTGAAGAGATTGAATTAATTCAGATACGAGCGGGTACACTTTGCAAAAATTTGTGCATTGCGGTATAACTTAAATGGTGCCCCCAAAAGTAGGTATATATGAAAATGCCCCAGCTGGAGTTGAATGTGGACAAAGTACTTACCTGGAAAGTTTGGAGCACTGAACCCGATTCTGTTCTAGGCCCATTTGTTGTTGTAGTAACCTAAATAGTCGTATATATAACCGCTTAAACTATATATGTGTTTGTGCACGCTTGTATGTAGAGTTAGTGTATAATCTATGTTTACCAACTGGAGGAGTAAATAGTAAATCGAAACGGCTATTTATGTAAAGATACGAAGTTTCAAAGACCGAGGCAAGTATTAAGAAACAAGTGTCCTATGGTAAGGGGAGACGGCAAAGGCATTTCACAAGACTCTCTATATATATATATAATAGAGTTCAATATCAATATATAATGACAGTGCATATGAATTTTTATACTAAGGGGAGTCACACATATTTATCTATAATATAAGTGGAATTTGTAACTAGCAAATAAAGCAAGTAATCTGCTACCACATATAAAATAGTAATGAGCGTTAAAATTCTTTACAATATACAAAGTTATGTGTCTCTCAAACCAAACCTTCAGTAAAAGTTACTGAGATGAGATGTGTATGTATATATGAACACTTTATACATAACATATCCTGTGATTCTCTATGTACAAAAATAACCACAGAATATTAAAATTTAAGTGTGCTAAATTTACAAATCTTCATTTGGCTCAATATTAGTTTTCTGAATTTTCATCAATAGCCACAATTTTGGCTGCACCTTTACCACCGGTCACAAATTTAGGAGAATTGACATGATTCCTGGATTCCAACCTTGAATTCTTGGTTATATTATGATTCATAACAACCCCACAATCTTCATCTTCTTTATTCAAATCACTAGGTGGCAAAAAACAATCCAAAGAAAGTCCTTTTATATTAAAATCAACTTCTTCAATTGTCCAAACTTCTTCCATTCTAGTCCTAGTATGACCTTCTGAATTTTCGCCGAATCTGAATAAAGAAACAGATGTTTTACCAGCATATGCAATGTTAACACCATCGATTGTTCGATAATCTTGAATAAATGATTCCATTGTTGTTTCCCAAAAGACATCATTTTTAGGGGATTTTAGTTTAAGAAGATGAATATCTTCAAGTTGGATTAAAAGGCCCGTTCTTTGGCTAAAATAGCCCCAAATAGTATGTCTTATAATTTCTACATTGCTGCTGCTTCTTGCCTTTAGTGTTGAGGGATCTACTTCAAGCTTTAATATAAAGCAGTCTTCAGTATTCACAGCTTTTTCTCCAACACAAATAGAATTAAAGAATAAATCAGCAGTAGACTTTGGATCAAGACCCTGTTAACATGATCAAGCTCAACCATTCAGTATCAACATAGCCAGATGTTGAAGACGTAATTAAGTAAATAAAAGTATGGTCTCTTTAATAGTTTAAGTATTAGACGAGATGATCAAATACTTCAACATTGTACGAGAGTAGACAATGGTCCTAAGTTTGAGTCTGATCTCGCCCATTATCAAAACTTTCTGCCTTCACGTTAAGGGGCGTATTAAAAACATAATTAAATAATAATAATATGTTGTTCTTAACTTTATTCTAAGATTAGTGTCATTTTATGCAAATTCAAATAGAATTGAAAAATAAATCAGGAGTGGATTGCTCATTTTCGCCTGCGGACATAGGTCAATTGACCAAACCACATTAAATATTTGTATCTTTTTTGATATATTTCTCTTTTGCTGTCTGATTTATCGTCATTCAAAGTTTGCTTTACTAACTTGCACATGCCACCTGATTATTTCGATCCTAACACTTTGGATCAAGACCCTGTTAACATAATTAATCTCAAACTAATCAATATCCACATATACAGAGTATATTCATTCAACAATTATTCTCTTTATTTTCTTTTTCATTTTAGAGGCTCCACTAGTGCTGGCTTTTTTCATTTCTTTTCTTTGGTTAGTTCTAGTTTTTGTTTCAACTTGCCCTATAGAACAACTTGAAGGGGTCGTGTGATTACACAACCTGGCCCCTCAACAAGGAAGAATTCCAAACTACATTAAATGTTGACTTCTTGACCCAATTTTCCTAATTCCTATGAAGTTTGCATATTTACAAAAATGGTCAATTGGACCACTTATCATATCAATTTATTGATTAGGAAAAATGGCATCCCATTCCTAGGTCCACATGGGAAGATGGCACGAAGACAAGTTAACCAAATCATTCACTTTATTTTTGTTTGGTCAAATGGAAAAGTCTAAGTTTCTTTACTGGAACGATAAATCGGTGCAAGTTTTAATGGTTTCAAGACAATTTTGTCGTAACATTATTATACAATGTCAATGCACAAAAGTTATACTCGTCGAGAAAGTACCTGTAAGGAACGACGAAGAGGCCGAGCAGGACCACGAGACGCATGAGAATGATGCCATGGACTTTGCCTCCAAGCCACATTACCATCACTACCAGCACTAATTTTACATCCTGAAAGTACTAACTCTATGCTCCAAAGATCAGGTCTTTTTTGCCACAATACAAATCCTCCCATTTCACCTTGCCCGTTTTTCGCGCTCTTAATTTTCATCACCTTACCATTGTTCAATCCTAGACCATCTCCTTCAATAAATTCGGACGCCACCATCTTCACCTTCCCCATCGCGTACATACTATCAATGGAATTCAGAGCATGTTCTCCTCCTGCCGCAGCTATGTATTGTTGCACTATATATTTTGCCATTGAAGCCTCCTGTACATGCACCAACCATTGATTAAATGAACAAAGAAATTATCTCGAGAACTCTATCCATATTAAATTAGGTATCAATGAGTAAATAGATGTTCTACGATTGTAAATTTATTGGCTTAATTAAATCAGATTCACGCTGTGTAAAACCTACTATAGGAGAAGGTAGCGCTCTTTATTAGATTTTTCTCTGAATTATTTTTATCAACCGACATTACTTCAAGGATTCTTATGGAAATCTATGTCATATATAAAAATTTCAGTTTCACCATAGACAAATTAGTGAATTAGACCGGATTTCTTTGTCTAGAATTAAGTAGTGGCTCGATTATGGTAAATTTCATTTTAATTTTCTTCCCATCAGCTTAACCCTTGAGTCGACAGGATTGATGGGAGGTAATAAATATAGTCTGAATTTATGTGATGCAATTCTTTTAATTTTTACAGCGAATTTGAATATAGAAACTTTAAGTTTTCTTTTTTAAATAAAATATATGTATTTGAAAACGGAGCCTTGGGACAACGGTAAAGCTAAGTTGTTTCCGTGTGACTTATAAGTCATGAATTCGAGTCGTGGAAGCAGCCATTAATACTTGTATTAGAGTAAGTTGTCTACATCACACTCTTTGGAGTGTGGCCCTTCCTGGACTCTGCGTGAACGCGAGATACCTTATGTACCGAACTGTCTTTTTTGGAAACTAACAATTTGCATATAAAAAAAATAAAAAAGTACCTTTGACTCTCGTAATACAAACTGTACACATAAATTGGGAGTAGTAGTCAAAGCTGCACAGAAAAAATAAGAAGAAAGAAACTTGAGCATTGTAAAAGAACTTACAATGGGATGATCATTGATCTTTTTATTGACAGAGTGATCACAACGAATAGGATGAGGAATCAAAGGAGCTGCAACAACACCAAGTAAGAGTTGAATCTCAGCATTTCTACCACCAAAAACCGAAGCATGAATTGATTTATGATCAGTATTAATACTATGAGATTTGATCCAAGATTTCATGTTTTGCCATGACTTATGTTTATATGAATCAACAAACATTTCTTCAGGAATAGGAACTTCAAGTACAGTTTCAAGCCCATCTTCTCTATCCAAATTTGGGCACAAAGTCCTCATTTGAATAATATTATCAGAGCAAAAAGAAGATTGAAAAGATTGTAATTATTTTGATGAATGAAAGAGAGAAAAGAGAAGTGTGAGTATTAAAAAGGAAATGGAAACTAATTAGTCTCTTGGATTACAAGGGAGAGTTGGTTATTTGAAGTTTAAGACTGAAAAATACAGAGGACCAACCAACCGACCATGGGAAGCCACCACCCCAACGTGCATTTCTTTGTCTAAATGTCGTGACAGCACGAATTTCTCTGTTTCTCTGTTTGGTTTGGAGTTTTTGTTTCTCTTTTTTTTTCCTATATATCCTCTTTTTGTGTTTGACTGTTGGTTGAAATAATATATGATACAAGAAAGAAAAAAAAAAGCGTCAGTCAGTGCAAAAAATATCTCGTATTCATGATTAAAGGAAGGGTCGTATCCAAGGGGTAGGATGTAAATAACCTACCGTAATGCTGATGAAAAACAGGTATAAACAGTGGAAGCAAATAGCCAGGATCACTTGCATGTAATATAGACAACACATAATCACAGATTTTAATCGAACATAAAATCGATACTTATCTCTTGAAGCGTGACGGCGATCGCTTAAAGACCTTCAAGCATGAGCAAGCACCATCCACGAGATCATACTCCAGTTCCACGGTTTTCTGTTGTGTGACCCGAATAATGCCCGGAATTAGCGAAACTCGTATGGGTGAGTTTCTTCCAGGAAAATCGTGTAGTAAAAACCATAGCCTCCTTATGGAATAAGACCTCTTATATAGCCACAGGTTTTCGGGTTTAAAGCTTTTTCCTAAACATGTTGGGTTTTCCTTGTCCACCAAGAAATATGATTCCATTTAATTCCTAATTATTCGGGCACAACAGGGACCGCAATATTTAATTAACGAGGCTTCCTATTATGGACTTAATTCGAAATATCAGAATTAATACTACCATAATAAATTACGAATTATTCCACTAAAAATTCGTAACTGCACTCCTCATTTTATTTCGAAATTCTTCCATTAAACCTTATTTAACTCCCATGTTAAGATTCAGATACTAATCATCTTTAATCTTTATCCCCATTATGAATCAAATCAAAACACCTGAAATATGCTTATGTCTACTGTATCATCTTAGCTTTCTTTTTCCTTTTTTTTTTCTTCCCATCTTAGGTTTGAAATTTTGAAGAAGCAACAACAATATACCCAGTATTATCTCACATTGTGGGGTCTGGGGAGGACAGTATGTACGGACCTTACGCCTACCTTGTGAGGATAGAGGTTGTTTNTATATATATGTGTGTGTGTTGATAAGAGATATTAGATATTCAAGCGGTAGAGATATTGTATACGATCAAAATCGAGCTTGCCTTTCGTATGACTGATCGAGACTAGAACATGATAGGGCAAGGTTCAAACTCGTATTATATCGAACCATTATGCGAAGTTAGATTGCCGAGCTCGTGATCCAGAGATCGATTAAGATCGAGATCGGCCAAGATCGAGACCGGCCAAGATCGAGAACGAGCAAGATAGAGATCGAATGAGACCAAGGAAAACTTACCGAACCAAATAACGGAAAGCCGAAATATCCGCAATCGGACGAGGCACTACAAGAAAATAGCCTTATTGCGGCAACCAAAGTCACTACAAAATCTCTGAAAGTCACTGTTACATGTTATCAGTGGCGACATTTGTGTTGCTACAAGCAAAACCGAAACTGAAAGGTATTTGTGGCGACACCAAAGGTCGCCTCTAAAAGCGTATATTTTGCGGCGACATAGTTGCCACAAAAGGTGAAAAAACTCGCTACAAAAATGGTTCCACAAGAATAAAAATTTAGCTGGGTCGCCACTGCTATTCATCTTTAGCGGCGACTACTATCGCTGCTATAAATGATTGTTAGTAGCGATTCGTGTCACTATAATATAATAAACCATGAAAGACACAATAACATTATGTAGCGACTAAAGTCGCTGCAAAAGAAATAAACCAACAGTGGCAAACTTAACATTCCAACAATTACTAATATTTTGTGACAAAATAATGTCGCCACTAAAATCTATCTTCTCAAAAACTATATAATGACCAAAATTATATATATTTCCGGTAGGAACCGAATTCTCTAAATTTAACGACTGCATATTCATATCAATTGACTACCAATATTAAAAGCAACCAATAATATTTAAAAAACACCAAAAGAATTTCTCAAACTAAATATTATAAACATTTTCATTACTAAAAAAGTCAATTAGATAATACTACACAGACACTTCATTGTGCATTGTAATTGTACGCATATACATATCCCAAAAAAGATAAAATATTAAG